GAAATTAAAGCAGTATGACATGATCAAAATGAAAAGTGTTTTCAAATTAAACACACCATGCAAAAATATTATTAATACTAGAAATCACATCAGGTCATTTGGAACCATTTCATAAGGTATCATATTTAACTCATTAACATTTATCACAGTGATCCAAAAGAAAAAAAATAAGAAACATTTGTGAGAGTATACATATGCCATGTGAAATGAATGATAGGGTTATTCAGACCACTGGACTTTAAGAAAATGCAATTTCCAAAAGCAGAAATAAAAATGTCTTGAAGCAATGGTCTTTTGTAATGAAAAAATATTTAAGAGATCTATAAAATGTTCAGGTTTTAGATATATGATATAAATCCAGAGTAAGTTTATAAACTATTGCTATATTCACAGATAAATTCTATACGCTCTAGTAACATTTTCTCTGTTTTTTTCATATAGTCAATAAAAATTAGGCTTAAAAATAATCAGTACACTAACAGCAAAAGAACTTTGCCAGAATTAAATACACACACACACACACACACACACATATACATATACATACATATACATATGTATATGTGCATATAATTTCAGTAACTGCGTGATACAACTAGAGAGAAACACATTTATGTTACTAAAAAGAACTGAAAAATAATCCTATTATACACTGAGTGCTGATTATGTTTCCAGAACTCCAGATATTATCTGATTCTCAAGTCAACCTGGGAATTAAGTGCTTCTATCAAGTGTTTCTCATTTTTCTGATTAAGATGCTGAGGCTCAATTTGGATCACTATTCAAGACCAAAGACCCAGTAAACAGAGGAACCAAAGGTCTCACCCAAAAATGCCTCTAGGGCACACTTATTCTCCATCTTTCTCAGGACTGCTCTGCTGGCTTCTCCATGTCTTAACACATTTATTTGTAACCAGGTAGTGCTAATTGCTAGCCTTTGTTCCATATGGCTGAAGCTTCTTGTCTTCCTAACAGAAATGCATTTTAGGTACAAATTGAAGAGATGTGAAAATTTTCAAATTCATGGCTGACTATCTGAGGAGATGCTTTTCTTCTCTTTCATCTTAATTTCTATACAGCCACAGATGTGATTCTTTAAATGTATTTTAAATTGTATGTTTATCATATATTAGGATGGGAAACTTAATAGCAGTGAAAGAGTGTAAATGGAGACATGAATGGTGATTTCTTTGCAGTCCTTTATTAAATATATAGACAGGTAGGTAAATGCTATAGTTTATGAAATTTAAAGAAATAATACTTAAAAACCTCATAAAATCAAATATTGTTACTTTACTTTAGATTATTGAATGAAAAAGAAAGAATAGAATATTGAATGAAAAGGATGAAACAAGTAAACATAAAAAAAAGATGGAAATATTGAGTACTCTTTAGTTCTCAGCTTTTCTTAGGCAATATATTCTTATTACAATCTTTTTTAAACTGTAATCTTGAAATATTTTTACTAATTTATAAATAAATGAATTGCATTTGAAGTACAATTGCATCAGAAATCTAATTTAACAGGTAATACACAGATAAAAGAATACCATACAACTTAACAAAGATAGTGTACAAAATTCACAACAATACGAAAATCAGTATAGAGCTTCTTCAAAAAGTAATTAAATGTTTTTTTTGAGGGGGGAGGGGGAGGGGCAGAGGGAGAAAGAAAGAGTGTCTCTTAAGCAAGTTCCCTGCTCAATGCTGAGCCTGATGCTGGATCTTATGACCCTGAGATCATGACCTGAGCAGAAATCAAGAGTCAGACACTTAACCAACTGAGACACCCAGGTGCCCCACAGCTTCCTCAAAAAATTAAAAATAGAAATATCATATGATCCAATAATTCTACTACTGGGTATTTGCCCAAATAAAATGAAAACATTTACTCAAAAGGAAATATGCACCCCTATGTTTTTTGCAACATTATTTACAATAGCCAGGATAAGGAAACAACCTAAGTATCCATTGATAGATGAAAGGATAAGGAAGATGTGGTGTATACATGCACACACACAAACATACATGTGCACATGAATATTACTGATCCCTAAAAAAGGATGAGATTGTGCCATTTGCACAATAGACCTAGAGGGTTTTATGCTAAGTGAAATAAGTCAGACTGAGAAAGACAAATGCCATATGATTTCACTCATGTGGAATCTAAAAAAAGCAAATGGATAAAATAAACAAAAGGAAGAATCAGATCTATAAGTACAAAGAACAGACTGTTGGTTGCAAGAGGGGCAGAGGATGGGAAGGGGGCAAAACGGGTTAAGGGGAGTGGGAGATTCAGGCTTCCTAGTTATAGAATGAGTAAGTCATGATAATAAAAGGCACAGCATAAGGAATATCAATGATATTATAATAGCACTGTATGGTGACAGATGGTAGCACACTTGTGGGGAGCACAGAATAATGTATAAACTTGTCAAATCACTATGCTATACACCTGAAACCAATATAACCATATGTCAGCTGTACTCAAATTCTAAAAAGTAAGTATAACTATTAAGGTCCTGGCTCTGATGAACTTCACATTCTAGTGAATTGAAATGGAAATTAAATAGATAAATATGTAAAATAATTCATAACAATGTTTGTATATTGATGGAGTCTTTCACTCTGTCACATATGGACTGGAGAACGTTAATGATACAGGGACACTTGGTGACTTTTCCCAACCCCCCGTGGTTTGTTGAAGATGGGAGAGAAAAGTAGGCACTAGACTGACATTTAATGTCAATCTGCTATTTTTTTCTATACAAAGTAACTACTATAAATCCCCTAACTTAAAAAATACATTTTTCCTTCCACATATTTTGGTGCCATTTGAAAAATATCTTCCAATTGTTAAGTAAACATAATGGGATAGTGTGTGTGTATACATTTATGTGTATGTGCCTTCTCTAATATTTGTATGTTCCTCTGAAGAAAAGATTAATTCTTGGTCACTTTTAAAGTTCATGGTGTAAAGTTCACAGAACATCTTAGGAAACCTGTAAAAAGTGAATTACCTGAAAAAGTAGTACACTGGTATCATTTTAATGGTCTGGTTAAGACGCAATAAGTAAGATTCCACTTTTGGAACAAATATAAAATATGTTATTAAACATTCTGTGTTGGAATAAAACGTTTTTCTCTTATTTTATTCTAAGCTGTGCATGTATACGTGTATATGCTTAGCAAGGGCATGAATACTTTTCCTTCACTAAGTACAGACACTGGTTACTTGGGGAAGATGTATTAATTTAATTGCTAGTGATTTTAGATACAAAACGTTTAATTTCCGTATTGTACTGTCTAGAATGACCCCATATATATAGCAAGTCCTCAATAAATATTTTTTGAAGAAGGAAGGAATAATCAGCTATTAGGAACTTTTTGTGTTATAAGTAGGTCTTAAAAAAAAGTTAAGTCAATGTCACCATCCTTTCCCATCAAAGTAATTTGTCTGCACAGTCAGAACTTAATACCACAGAGATTTTGTTTGCATGCAGAAATTGCATTTCACTTAAATTGCTATTTGTAAAAATTTTGGAAAAACAATAAGTTGAAGCAAAGTAAAAATGTAGGTATCTTTCATTTCATATAATATCACAAAGTATTTTTTTACCTTTTCTTCATTTTTATTATTTTCCCCCATTTACAAATAAATTGTTATAAATCGTTAAATCCTTCTCACTTGTAGATTCAGCTCAAATGTAGTTCATTTAATAATACTAAAAGAAACATAGGAATTTTTAGAAATTCTTATTGCTACTATCATCAAAATTCAGTTATTAATTACATATCATATAATAGAGTTTACATGATTATTAAAAACTAATAATTATATAATATCAGATATTTTTCAGAAACGAGAAAAATATTATGATAACTGTTATGTCAAAGCTAACAAATCAGTTTAATATTGAAAATTAATAAAAATCCCAAGAAAAACAGTCTAATTGAACAATCTTTTAAGTAAAGGAAAATAACATTTAAGTCAGTACTTTGTACAACCATAATTACAGATATTAATGTAAAGTCCCCATGAAAAAAAAAAAGTCCCCATGATTTCAAGTTAAATTGTTAAGTTTAATGCATGTTAGTATAGCCAACATGACATAAGACATGTACAAGTACAAAAAGACAGACTTAAATAGGGCAAATTCTCTCTGAACATTGCTTATGCAAAAATTAAGTTTAAAGCCTGTTTGTCTATAATGCACTCATATAATTTTTAAAAATTTCTTCATCACCTAGTAACCACTTAATGACTGCTCAGGAATGCTTTTTTATATTTCTGAACTATAATGTAATTATATTTTGCCTTTAAAGATTAATTTCTTCAAGGTTGCTTTCCTTAAGGCAAAAATATTTATTAACAAATCAATACCAGAGATTACCCATGGAGCCAAATATGAATTCCTATCATCCTGGACAGCTTTACCAATATTCATTTTTAGGACATTCTGTTAGTAGACTAAATAGATCTACGGACTTTAGGATGATATGTTGAATATTTATTTAAAAGTTCTATGTGGTGACTAGTTTATAATGACCCCATGAATTATGCCAGTTTTTAGAACGTGTTCAACATTTTGGGTATTTTTAATCCAGTGGGAGAAGAATAAATCATTGACATTAAACAAAGATCTTTAAAAAGTGAATGCTACCTCTGCAACCTTGAACATCTTACTTTTCCGTTTATAAGGCAAGGAAAAAGGAAAAAAAAAGTTCCATTTCACATTTAAATTTGCTCAGTGTTGGCTCCATATATTTTTAACTTATATTCTGGAATATTTTCATAATAGTCATAAGTGGCACTAAAAATTAAAATGTACCATCTTGCCTCATATTCTATCCAATAACCCTAATTGATAGTAATTTAGGTGACTTAATTACCTCTTATAATTAAGTAAAATTGGATCTCAATCTCTACCCTTTTAAAAAAACCCTTTAAAGCTTCATTTAATGTGTTTTCAAGGCCATAACAAAGAAGCATACTGTACCTCTTACGCTGCTGGCTGTTGCAGATGTGGTTGGGCTGGTTGTTATGGCTACAGTGGTTGTGACTGTTGCAGTGGTAAGGGAGGGGATGATAGTAGTGGGAAGCAAAGTGTTGGGAACATCTGGTGAGTGGAAAAAAAAACAAAATATAAAACAAAATCATATCATGCAAACAAAAGAGAAACACAAATGATTAAAATTATAAATACGTATGTCTTATTTAGGTTTAACTTTAACAGGCTTACACAGATTATCAGGTACAAAGCTAGCTGTACCACACGGTTCTTGTCATTTTTTTGTTCACTTCTTTTTCATGCTCCTATACAAAGCAAAAGCAAAAACTTGGAGCAATGTTTGGGAATAAGCAGATTGTTTGTAATATTTAGAGTGAAATTTAAAATGACAAGAATTCATTTGTTCACTGAGTCATTTAAAAAGTGTGACATGCAGTAGCAAAATACAAATAGGTAAAACAAAAAATGACATGCTTTGTCAAAGAAGTAAACAAAGAAAAAACACAACAGAAATAAACACAAATAACATCACCATATAAGATTAAAGAAATGTTAATGATGGATGAGTATATGCATGTTAAATGCTTTTTGTTTTTTTCTTTTAGGAAAATTTAATGGTAGGAAATAAGATGACAGCAATCTTTAGAAACAAACAAAAAAAAGAAGCTTATTGTTATTATTATTACTTTGCTTTTCTTTTTCTCACAAATGATGTTAATGCACAGCTTAGAGTCTTGCAGTTCTTACCCTGATTAGCTGGTAACGCCTTCTAACAATTTTGCAGTACCTAGGAGTCTTTAACAAGTATTGAGTCAACTAGCATGGAACCCAATATTCTGAAAAGTTTATGATTTATTTTATTTGGCATACATAGGAGAGGTGATTGAACACAGACTTGAACCATAATATTCAACCCCTAATTCATGATTAGTCAAAGTTGCCAGAAGTTAACACCAGATTCTAATACAGAAAACAGAATACACAGAAAGAATAACTTATAATTTTACATGAAAATCTTCCTTTCACTCAAAACTGGCTGAAAATTTGGAGAGCATCATATCATAGGAAATATTGAGACAATGTAGCCACTGTCAAACTATAGAACCTCAGCAAGATTCTCAAAAAGTCAGATCTTGTCTCAAGTGAATAGGCATATAATTTACACAGTGAGGAAATGAGAAACAGTTCACAAATTACCTGTAATTACTGTGCTGGGGTTTGATTTCACATGTTTGCCACACAGTCCCTACATATCCAAAGTGTTTGACAGATTATTTTGCTGTTAAAAGGCTTCCTGTCATTCTCTCAGTTACAGTCTTTGAGTCACACCCAAAATTTTCTAGCTTTTTACTGCTGATAAATTAGCCCTCCTCAATCCTCAGACTTGAACCTGCTGAATTCTCTACACTGGAGACATCAGAAAACAGTAGGAGCTTCCTCTCATATCTTGGGTATTGATGTTTACACCTGTTTTCCAACAGGGAAAATGCTTCCTAGACAGTCAAATTAAGAAAACAACCTTCTAAAAACTCAATGGTGCTACATTAATCACTGGAGAAAATGGGTATTGCCTGGTGTGCGATTACCATGATCATAAAATGGAATTGACTTTAACAACATTATAAACTGAATCAATATTATGTATATGTGCACATGTAGTTCTTATTAACTAATTTTTATAATACCTTCTTATTTTTATGGTAAGTTTTCCTAAATGGTTTAGGCAGGCTAGAAGTAAATGAAAGACATTTTCTAAATTAAAAAAACATGAGTAATTTTAACTTTCATGGATACCTAAAATAGAAAATAATACATTCTTCGTCTGCTAGTGAAATCTTTTGCTTATTAGGATTTCAAAATATATGTGTTTAATCTATGCAAAAGGATATCTTACATGGCTATCAAATACAAGAACATAATAATATTAGTACTTTAAAACTCCAGGTACAAAAACCGATGTCACCAAACCTAGCACAGATGGTAAAATATTAGGTTATTTCCTATCAGATAATGAGTTAAAATAAGACTCTATTAGACTTGAAAAGCAGCCTTTCAAAATCAGCTAATACTATTCAATTCTTAACAGCTGGAATACAAAGGACAGGTTTCAGTGTTATTTGTTCATTTTTTAGTTTAGCCAAAAAAATAATTATGTGGAATATTTTTTCTTTATTCCATATCAACAAAATTGAGTAATGATAAATCTTGATTTGTCTTGGAGTCTATGTATTTCCAGGTACTGTGAACATTTTTGTAAAAACTAAACAATATCTTTATTTCTTGTAATTATGAAAATGCATGAAATATAGGGTTTTTCTTAGACTAACAATTAAAGAACCAAAAAACACAGTAATTTTAATAATTGTCAATCCACTTTAAGAGGACTGCCTTAGAGTCTTTTAAAGTGTCCAGACAGATAACCCTACAAATCATTATTGACTCATACTCTGACTCCTGCTTTATTTGCCCATTATCCTCTCTCACCCTTCCTTCTTGACTTCCTATGTATTTAAAAACAAATCTGCTGAAAGAAATTTGATGGAAGACATCTTGGCCAAATGACAACTGGGTCAAGAAAAGTATCAGTCAGATAAAAAGTCTCTCTCAGTCACTGTTATGTTTTTAACCACTACTAACTTTATTTCATCCTAGGTGTTCTGAAACATTTTAAACATTTTAATTTATCCTTTTTATGTTATATTCTTGTTTATCCAATTATCTTAGCTCTATTATAAGAGAGCAACATTTGAAATAATCTAAATATTAAACACCAGAAGAGCAATCACAACCAACTGAAATTCAACAACATAATATCAGTTGGAATTAGTTGGAATTCTTAGAGAGATCAACAAAATTGCATGATGCTTCTCTCTTCTACCTAAACTTTCTGTCTGCCCTGATTTGATTGATGTCAGTCTCCACACTTGACAATGAAGTGAAGAACTCTATTTATTGTTAGGACCCTATCACAATGTAGAAGATGAATGAATATTTACTAAATGGATTTGTTCATAGCATTATAAACATATAACACATTTTAGAGGATCTAGAAAAGTCCATTTTTTTTGACGGGGTCATCCAGTTAATATAAAACTAAAAGATTTTATTACTTCTGCTAAATAAATCCTTCTCTGTCTTCAATATAGACAGACAATAATTATTTTCTGAAGGATAATATTTTTTCACTTATTTTTAAAGTAAACTCTATCCCTCAATGTGGGACTTGAACTCACGACCCCAAGATTAAGAATCGCATGCTCTATGGACTAAGCCAGCCAGGTGCTCCTGAAAGATAAATTTTTTAAGACTACAACTTACAACTTCTTCATTCAAATAAATTTCCTTGCTAACAAAATTAATTATTTCCCACCTTTCCTGCAATTTGAAAGTAGTGTGAGCCTGACCGGAGAATCATGTCCTCCATGTCTCTTTTCATTTTCAACTAACTTGAGACTTTCAGAGAAAGGGTGAAAGGCCAAGAGGGCTCACTAAGCAGGTCCTATTGTGATCAGTAATAAAAGATCACCACAAAGTTATAAATTGTCTATGATTATCCCCACTTAATGGATGAAAGAACTTTGAGATAGAGCTTCCTCATCTCTAAATTTAAATATATATTCATATATGCGTATATTATAATACAAGAGAATATTTTATTTCATAAGTATAATGGAAAGGTTTCTCAAACACTTCCCTCTCAAGATCATTTATTTTATCTGCCTGACTGCAACTCCTGACAAAGCAGAAATTAAAAAAAAAAAAAAAAGAAAAACCGGAGGTGCCTTTCTAAGTTTAAACATTCATTCATTCAAAACCAGATATGGTTTTCACTCCTGTGACCGAGTGGCAACATTTGGCATCATTTCACAATTGTTTAAAAGATCTGGTTTGGTACATTATCATTTGGCCTTTTATTTAGACATTGGTAGAGAAAATGGTGCTACATTTTCACAAGGAAACATGACATTGGAAACACTAGTACCTGTCATTTGTCTCATTTTTGAATGTACATTTTTAAATTCTATACATTTTTAAAACCATTATACTGTTAATACAAAGTGCTCAATCAAATATAGTACAGGACAGAAAATGCAGGTCATTTTTTTCCCCCTTCCAAGACACATCCATTTATTTTTCTCAAGAATAAAATACCCTAATCCACATGCAGAAGAATTATACCCATGCACACAAACATAATAAAAACAACTGAATCTTGATTTGACATTAATTTACTCTGTTTATAAAGCAAGATAATCTACATGCTAATATTATATGTAATTTGTTGAATATGATTTGCCAATTTTAGACCTTAATATATGCCTTATATTTTAACATCATATGATTAAAGGATGTCTTAAGATGGACACTAAGTAACTATAAATTTAAAAAAATAGAGAAATTAATGGTTTGTAGCATAATTTATAAATATTAAAATTCAGAAATGAAAACTCCCTAATAAGTTGATCAATTAACTACATGGCATTTCATCTCTGATTTCTACAATGCAAAAGATGAGGTCAAAATTTTTATTATTTTCCTTGGAGAATATCTTATTTGAATCAAATAATATTGAATTTGCCTGAAAAAAAGTGGCTACAAATAAAGTGTTCAGAATTTACAATTTATAAAAGAAATTAACTATTACATATTTCCTAGATGTTAAGGAATTAGTAGTTGATAAACTATGTAGTGGATAAAAATGGTATTTGGTAAGTGAACAGAGTAAAAATGATCAGATTTGTCTAGATAGCTGTATACCATAGCAAAGTCAAGGATTTGCTTAAAAGAAAATTGGTGAGCAGTGTTTATAGGGAACTAAGAAAAGTCAAGTTCCAAGACATGAAAATATTTGCTTATAGTTTTACCTACACGTAAGGTGTGAATTCCAATAAATTACACTTCTCATTTCAGTTGTAACATATATACTATTTTCATATAAAAGGAAAATTCAGGAGTATTTCAATAATGTCAGACAAAACCCCAAATTTAGTCAATTGTACAGTTGCATATTAGTGCAGACAAAGTCTAAGTAGGCAGCAAGAGTCATTCATGTGAGTGAATGCTGGGTTACAAATAAATACAGTGTAAATGGTGCAGGTTCCTTTTGT